AAGTACTCGCCGATACCAATTACCGATACTTTTTCTTAAAGGACCAGGTCACATTTTTTCTAAAGCAATACAAACTAATGATTTTAGGTCCGTTTCTTAATATTATGATTCATGAGATGACGAGGGAGCATGACGCCGGCTTCCCGGCCAATCAGAATGCCGGGCGCTGCGTCATTACACGGCACCCGGCTTCCGGATTTGCTAGCTTCCTGACCAATTAGGAAGCCGGGCAGCGCATCATTGCACGCTACCCGGCTTCCTGATTGGCCGGGAAGTCGGCTCCATGCTCTCTCATCACTGTGACGAGAGAGCATGGAGCCGTTTCCTGGCCAATCAGGAGACCGGGCAGCATGTAGTGATGCACTGGCCGGCTTCCTTATACAGGAAGTACTCGTGCTAGGTATCGGAGCATTTGGGCGAGTATGAGTACTCACCCAAATACTCGGTATCGGCACCGATACTAGTATCGGTATCGGTGCATCCCTAGTTGAGACTATTTTCAGTGGGGGGGTGGGGGGGGCAGTACCCCCTATCTTAATTTTGGATGCCCCTGTCTGCCTGACATCCGGTGTCTGGGTTTCTGTCTCTGAGCCGTGATCACCGTCCAGGAAGTAGATATGTGACCCAGAGGCTAGGTTCACACCTGCACAACACCCGGGCCACGCGATCGTGTGACATCTGCGCAGCGATCGCTAAAAAAAAAAGAAGGTATAAATACCTTTTTTTTTGCGACACGCAACGCGTGCCTTTCTTTTTTAGCCGCGATCATGTTCACTTGCACGGGTGGAAGCGCGGCATGGAAACCGTGCGATCCGCCCGGCGCGACTGGGGTGCCATTAGAAAATAATGGCACCCACAGCGGGATCGGTTCACACTTTGGCGACTCCGTGACCGCGCGGTGAGGAGTTGCCTAGGTGGTGAACCTAACCCGAATGATGGCGCCGTCCTTCTGGAGAAGCAGATGAAGACATTGGTGTGGAAGGCGGAGGGGGAGGAGTTATAATACCTGGAAGTGTGTATTTCTTCTACATTCGTCATGAGACATATATAGACGGAGTTCTGTTTTAACTAATTACCGACATTCAGGAACCCGAGATATCAATTTTAGACCAACAAGATTTCCAGTCTGAGATTTGGCCCCACTCAGCAGCGTGCGTTTGGGGGG